TCGTTCCATTTTCTGACCCGCTGCTTCACCTGCCAGCTTCACAACTTATATTACAATAATACATGTTATGGAACAAAAATAACATACAATAGTATAAGTAGAACACAGACATCATATTGGATATTATGTTATAATATTAATTTCAATCAAACTTCTCTTGTTTGATACTTTTTGTTACTTAAACTTAAAAACGATGAGTATCCTACATATATATGTATATATATATATATAAAAAACAAAACGTTTTTATAGTATAAACAGAATATAATCGATTTTCATGACATTCTCAAAGATATATGAAGATTATGAAGCAGTCAACTATTTATGATAAAAGTTATATGGAGATATAGCAGGCATTAACCGCATCCCGATGGAAAGCTATCTGAAAACTATCTGAAATAAACAAATAATTATGATAAAAACAGATATCCATATACAAAAAACAGATTTTATTTCAAAGGTGTAAAATGTATCATTATTCAAATCATCACATAAATCATGAAATTATCAGAGATCTTATATTTTGCAAAGTTTAATTCATATTTTCTGAAAGAGATTCAATGAGTATATCATTAGATATTCCTCTCCTCTCCTCCTTATTCTTACACCATTGATTTATAGATTGTCGGAATATCAAGCCAATACAAAGATGAATATAAAATATTGTATAAATTGTAAGAATATGAAAAAAAATTAAATAATCAAGAATTACAAGTAGACACAATATAAAAAGAATAAAAATTAATTACTTTTAATAATAATTTTATGTATTTTGTCGATATATAACAATACTCAAATTATATTAGCTTAATATAACAATCATAGCATTAAGAAAATCGTATGAACTTCAAATATAAACATCATTTTTTAAATGTTAGCGCTATATAAATTACTAGATACTAATCTGTTATAAAACTTATATTAAAAAAGATTTATAAATTTACTATAATTATGACCGAATATGCCATTGAAATTATATACTTCATACAATTTTCTACATGCCCATTTGTATGTATTGTACTGAGATTTACTTACAGCTTGCCTTTCTCTCAAATGGAAGTTCAATTCTCAGAAGTGGACTGTGAGTAAGGGTAATTCTGATAGCCTGTTGGGAAAGAAGGATTTTGTTGTCCTGTCTGTGGTTGAGAATTAGATCCGGCATTCGCCGCATAATAACCAGCTGGTGCGGTGCTTGCATTCATTGTCGGATAACTTCCATAAGCTTGAGGGAACGCATTGGGCGTCGTACCTGGTGGGCCAGCTGATTGTCCTTGAAGAGTCTGCATTTGTTGCTGGGCCATTTGATTCCCTTGCATTCCAAGCTGTATAATGTTACGCACGATGTTAAGATACAATAAACTGCGCTAATAGTAATATCAATGTAATATTTTGAAGAAAATACCTTGCCCGCCTTCATTTGAGCTTCTATCGCTTCAGCTTCTTTTATTTTACCAATACTTCTGTAATATTCTGCCCATTGTACACTGTAATCAGCTTGACCACCATTTTGTGCAGCACCCGTTTGTTGTTGCTGCGTCTGCTGCTGCTGTTGCTGCTGCTGCTGTTGCTGCTGCTGCTGCTGCTGGTTCGGTCCAGCAGAACCTGTTGTCGCTGGGTTAGACTGATTTTGTGTATTACCTAAAAGAATTCGTTTTTTTTTATATTTCATAAAATGTTCAAAAATTTTTACCTCTTAATTTCAAATGCAATATATAAAACTTTATAAAAGAATCTTACCTCCTTGCTGATTGTGATCTTGCTTTCCTTGTTTCGCTTGTTGTTCGATCATATCTGCTTCTCTGTGCATACCCAATGATCGATAATACTCCGCCCATTGAGCACTATAGTCTGGCTGACCAGTCTGCGGATTGACTTGTACAGGAGCTTGATTAGCATTGCCTGCAAGAGCAATTTTATCGCGTAATAGATGTCAAACTTACCTCCATGCATGCTATAAGGAATCATAAAACCATACATACTTCCATCATTGGATTGTGGTTGACTTGGCCAAGCTTGATACCCTGTATTCCAACTTGGATTATATCCAACTGCACCTTGTACTCCAGCATATGAAGAACCCGCTGGACCCTTTAATTAATAAAAAGAAGAATAATAATGATAAAAAGATAATAAGTGTGTGTGTGTGTGTGTGTTTTGTATACAAAAAAGATATCTCAGGATAATAAACATACCATGCCTAATTTTTCACTAAATATTCTCTTTGCATGTTCAACTTGTTCAGGATTTCCCCGAATAATGAAAATCTTCTCATTTTCATTACTTTGATTTCGTCTATCCAATTCACAGTGCGCTCCTGTCTGTTGATTGATACTGTTTAATAGTCTCGCCACCTAAA